TTAGGTTTCGGCCTGGGCTTCAACTTAGGCTTAGGTTTCGGCTTAGGCTTGGGCTTAGACTTAGGCTTGGAGCTCAGGCTTTGGGTTGGGCTTAAGTCTAGGCTTATGCTTAGGCTTGCGCTTAGGCTTGCTCAGGATCGTTAGGTTCTAATGCTAAATATCGCAAGAAAAACACCTTTTTTCCACAATTATACCCTATTGCCCGAGAGATATTTTCTTCAGAAATACCATCCCCTAATTGCCGCCATTGTCGTCAAGCCTTTTCTATAACCCCAAATTTCCGGCCAATCAGCCACCCAAAAAGTCAAAAGCCAAAGAAAATTGATGGTTTCCATTGGTCTCAAAAAGCGCTTGACGCTCGAAAAGCTTCTCAAAAACTGTAATTTCCGTTAACGAACTCTTACACACACTTTTCAATTCTCATTCATGTTGAGGAATTCTGCATGTGTGCCTTGGAAAATCAGGCTGGGATTTCGGGCTAGTCAGTTTTTTTAGGCGGAGAATACGGTATTAAAGGGAGTAGATCGCATACGTGTACATTTCGAGCCTTGGCATTTAAAGCGACAGTGAAGGCCAGGCATCTAAAGGTCATCTAAAGCATGAGTTCTGGCTCTCTCTTTCTCTCGCCCTCTCTCTCTAGCTTTCTCTCTCATTCTCACCATCTCTATCTCTTCTAATCTCTCTTAAAGCGAGCCAATACGGCCTAAAAATACCGCAACCTCTTGTTACCAGATTCAGAATCTTGGAGCATTTCCGCATTAGTCCATTCAAGTTGCTAGCCCTGGCTGCTCCTCCCAATTTCCCCAAACCTGAGTGACTCTATTTTCACACTTCTCCTTTTTCTTTCCTCCGTTCGCTTGTTTCCGAATTCTCTTCTTTTTCTTCCGTTCGGCCCCCTTGATCATTTAAAAGGATTCCCTTTTCCCTCCTTTTCTTCTTCCCCAACCAGGGGTGCAATTAAATTAGCCCATTCGGGTGTTGGGGTGTTGCTCGAGCGCAGGCCCTAAATTTTTAGCCGCCCCGAAAAAATTCAGATTTTAGAACTCTCGTGCTCCTTTTGGTCATAACAAGGCCAGTCTATTGCTCGACAGACAGGGCAATTTTTTCCAATCGTTGCCAATTTCCTGGGATTGTCTATTGACGCCATTTTTGTTAGTAGAATACGTTCTTTGGTCGTTGGGAAGAATGGCCGCTAGATTGAGCCGAGAGCTAGAGATCGACAGAGAGAGCGAGAGAGAGAGAGAGAGAGAGAGAGAGAGAGAGAGAAAGAGAGGGGGAGAGAGAGCGAGTTTGAGAGAGAGAAAGAGAGTGAGAGAGAGTGAGAGAGAGGAGAGCGATAGAGAGCGCTTGAGCTAGAGATAAAGAGAGTGAGAGATAATGCAAAGGTTCCAGAGGAGCCTCACCTATTCAATAGATCAATTTCCGGAAGAAAACAAGGGGTCGTTAGAGGTGTCTATATCTTGAGGGACAGAACAACCCAGGAGACACTCGGCCTAATCTCTGGCCGGCTAGAATCTGCTAAATGTCGAGAAAATGCTATTAGTAGCATCCTTGGTGACTACGCTACCTTCCTAGTTACGGGTTTATACCGTTTACGACAATCAACGATTTTCATGGATTTTCAACGCCGTAACTCGGGGTTTCAATGTTGTGTACAGGGTGTCCCAAAAAAACCCCCTCTAGAGGCCGTCAATCGGATCGGATCGGAATGATTTTTATACCAATCGAAAGCTCTCGGAAAGGCGAGAAAACAAGCGGGTTTCGTTTTCTAAGATTTAATCTGATCTATCGATATTCAGTTTTTCCTAAAAAGCCGGGAATTTTTCATCAGGAATTTCGCAATTAGCATGCAGATCTCGCATAAATCAGCAGTTTTCATGGTTTTTGGACACAAAATTAGCAAATAAAAAAGCTTAATTAAGAAATTCAACCCTCCATGTTTTCTCGCCTTTTCGAGAGCTTTCGAAGATACCTAAATCGAAATCGGAACGACAGACCGCTAGGTGGGTTTTTTGGGACACCCTGTATAGATGCAACCATTAATGCGCAAAGCGCCGCGAAATGCAAAATTGTCGCTTTTTCGTTTTTTCCTGTATATCCCAGTGCAATTTTTGATCCCAAGTTCATCTCACAAGATCGCGAAAACAACAAACCCCAAAAAAGTTTCGAATTTCCCCCCATCTTCCCGATCCGATAGCAAACCGACCCCGGACGGATTATCTTTCCATCCCATCCCGGGTAGTCGCAGCGTTCGCTGGCTCGCTCGTTTATCTTTTTTTTTGCTTTTTATCCATCTCAAGGCATTTGGCGTTCATTATTTGTGTCCTCTGCCCATTCTCATTCCCAGGATTTGCCGAACCAAACCCTTATCATTCAGAGTTCTCTTCTAACCCGCCAAGGGGAGGAGCTTCGGTGACTTTTAAAAATGTCCGACGCCAGTGCACTTTTCTGCTGCTGTAAGTTTTTGAAGGTCGTCTAAAACACCAGATCTTCGCCTATTTTTAGGCCTTCAGTGTTGTCACTGTATTTTGTGGTTCCTTAATAGTTCAGAATAGAAGCCCTAAAATCGACCTCTGGATCGACTAGGTCTCGACAACTACGCATCCTACTATATATAAAAAAATAGTGTCTGTGTGTGTGTGTGTGTATGACACTTTACATGCAACTTCCGTCAGCGTGTCGGAGGATATCTCAAGAGGGAGGGGGCGTAAGGAGGTGTTTGATACGTCATTAGATGCGTAATGGGCTGTAGATGACTGCACACACATCAGGTTTTGTAAAATATGTTGTTTTCGACATTAAAATTAGGTTGTTCGTAAAAATTCGGCCGCCCACTTTGTTAGGAGAAAATTAGCATACGCCGGAAGTTGCAGCAGCCTATATAAAGGCCCAAAGGGCTCATTTTTCTTTTTTTTTGTCATCGGAATTGAGGCACAATTATGCAAAATAAAGAACCTCATAGGAATAGACGGGGGCCAGGGTTGAAAAGTCGCGAAGCGGCTTTTCAACCCTGGTCATATCTAAAATTTTAATCGTTTTGTAGCTCCATAAATATGCGTAATTTAGAATTTTGCCTGATTGTCGATGCCTAGTCGAAGGGAGAGGTCGATTTTGGCATTTCCAGGCCCTATAAGACGTAGATTCAGGCTGAAAATTTTTGAAGCGTTTTTCAAAGCCTGAAGCTAAGCTTTCCAAGTCGGTTAATGCCAAAACACCGATAACCACAATCACGGCCGTTAAAATCCCGACAGATCAAAATTTCGACATGCAAGATTGCGGTTGAAATGGGGGGAAGGGGTTTGAAAATGAGGTGGAATCCAAACTAGCGTAAAAAAATTTCGTGATTTTGACAGTCGGTATTTTGGTCTATTGGCATTTTGGTCTTTCAAAATTCGACTGTCGATATTTTGACTAAAATTTTTACGGAAGGATAGCTTGACTGCACTTTTCTATCGTTTCCGAATTGATAGTTCTTCATCTTTAACCGTGGCGGTTTTTCGGTGCATGTCCATGCAAAATCGCTACAAAATCCAATCCGTTCATTGCTCTCCTGACAATCAAGGCCAGCAGTTTTCCCCGTTACAATCCCCTTACCCTCAAAAATTCCGCGCTACACCTGTTTACAACACCCATAAAACTCGGGATTTGGATGTTGGAGGGGAGGATTTGCTCCGCAGAATGGGGGGGGGGCAAGAACATAAAAATTTAGGGCGGAATCCCCGCCATCGGAAGAGTATATTTACTACAAAGCCGACAGAAAAATTCGCTAACAATCAGCCGGCCGGCCCGTTCAGGGATTATATCAGGGTGCCTTAATCCCTCTCTCTCTCATTCTCTCGCTCTTTCTCTCGCTCTTTCTCTTTCTCTCTCTCTCTCTCTCTCTCTCTCTCTCTATCGCCCTGCTTTTTTTTTCGTGGGGTTTTCTGGACGTTTGCGGGGTCACATGTGGGTGGACCCGCCGGCCAGGGGAGGAGGGAAATTTTTGCCTAACACCAACATGGACGCATGCAGAAACAGAAACGGATCATTTTTCGACCTCGTCTGCCCGGGTCAGACATGGTTTTTGGCACCGAGTCGCACTCGTTGTATTTTTCTACCACATTTTTAATTCGCTAGTTAACGTTAAGCTACTACTTTTCACGTTAAATTAATGGAGTAGAATAATTAATATATGCCTTATAAATTATTAATTTATGAATGGATTTTTGGCGTTGGTTTAAAGGGTCAGAGAAGGCACAACGACTTTTATTCAATACGTTTAGAAATTATGCAATGACCTATTTTATTTTGATTCCACTTTCAAACGAGGCTCACAAGATCTTGCTGACGATGGATTTCCTCTGCAGTTTACCGTCCAACTCGTGTTTCCGCACACCAACCAGTAGTTACGCAATGGGACAAAGATGTGCCTGTCCATGCATTGCGCGCCGCGCGTAGATGTGTCGCGTGTCCCAGACCGCGCAGGTCTTCTGCTGCGCTGCTGCGGCGACGAAAAAGCATTGAGATGATTAGCTAGAATTGTGCGTCTCTTTCAAAGGCCGCTCTCCAGCATGCTTGCTAGTTTCACAAATGATGCCTACTAGCTAGCTGCGGGATCATAGTTATCTCAAGTTTTATATTAGGATTTAATTTGCCACATTTCTGGCTTACGATTTTTACCGTAAACTATTTTCGCCAGCTTTGGGTATCAGAAAACGGCTGTTTTTAATAGCACAGAGATCCAAAAAGCCTACAAACCAAGGAACGGGGTCCATTTGGCCCATCCCAGGGCTTCCACCCCTAAAAATTAATTACCCGCGCCCTTTCCCCAAAAGCTATATTAGCCAATTTTGAGCAAGCCGCTCCAATGTGGGCGTTTTGACGTCAAAGCTATTTTTGAGGCGTCTTCCAGAAGGTCGCTATGATCCTTTTTCGCTCCAGGTCGCCAGGGCAGCTGGAGACGTTCGGAGGAGGAGAGGGCGCGTCGCTTGGAAATCATACGACAGCGTCGACTCGAGCAAATGTACACCCGGACACGGTAGGATTTTTGATGATCTTTGAGCGTTCAAGATAGATGGTTTATTAGCGTAACTCTGAAGAGTTGGATTTTTGACGCGATTTTTCAAATTTTAAATTTTCTAGGGTAAATTGCTTTAAAGTTATAGTATTTTGAAAATTACGTGATAAAAATCCATGCGTAATTAGGTGTAATCATACTCGGGTTTTCGCGGAAATCCTAATTTTGCCGCCTAAGAATTTACAATTATTCCGCGTCCGATTGTTTCCGGTTCGAGATTCAGGTACAGGACTGTTAGTGGGGGATTGATGGCGGAAGTTTATATTTTTTGCTTTTGTAATAATATATGGTGTGTATTTTCGTAGCAAGTATTAAAAAAATCCCTAAAAATGGCTTTTTTGGTCATTTTTCATACAATTTGTACGATACGATATGCCAAAGATCTGACAGTAGGTGCAATCCGAGCTGAACATTAAAATCCACCCAAAAATTTTAATTCCCGCTCCCCGCTTGCGCAATTTCATTCAGACAATGTGAGCCAATCGTGACCTAATATTAATTTCCAGATCTACGTCAAAACCTTTCTTTCCGTTCATTTCCCATTGACGCCTTCTTCAGCCTCTCCCTCCATAGTCTGAAGCCCTATAACAATAGTGTAATGCGGAGGAGTGGGCCTCACATTTGCAGAAAATCCCCCCTCTCCCCTCTGGTCCCATCAGGTCATCTGCCCCAGAAAACTGTTTGCGCCGAGACTAGAGGCTGCGTCAATTTTAATCTCGACCGCCGGGCCCTCCCCCAAAAAATTGGCCAAAGAAAAAGCTACCGTAGCCCCGCCCGAATGCGCGAATATAAAGGGCGCCCTCCGAAGGGGATAATCCGGATTATTCCGCGGGGCTCACCTTCACACTTGCCTTGATCCCGAGTTGTCGGCTACTTCCTGCTGGCACCCAAAATTCTAATAAATCTTATATTTTAATTCCGATACAACTCTAAATTTATTTAAATCTGCGGGAATGGATCAGCTACTGTAGGTTTATCGTTGCTAATTGGTTTATTAGGCGGCGTACTGTAGATAAAAGTAAAAAAGTTGGATTTTTGGATACTGTAAAATGTAAGAAATAATTTTAATAGGCGTATTTAAATTGCAAAAAGCGCTATGAAATTATAACAAATTTAAGCATTCGAATCCTTCTTAAATGTCCTCAAAGGGAGCAATTATCGTAACTTTTAGTTTATGAAGTTTAATGGGTACTGTAGTTTCACAAAAATTGAAATTTATATGCAATTTCAACCTTAAAAATATCTGAAAACTAAGTGAAAACGTTTGCTATTTTGGCAATTTTATTTCTATCTAAATCCATTTTCAGTCAACCCAGCGGAAACCTCCGGAAAATCTCCGAAATCAACGAGCAAGACGAGGCCATTGAGCAGCACATCGTCTTTAACCCACGCGAGAATGGATTCACCGTCTTGAGGAAACTGTCGGAGGTACGATAGTTTTCGGTATTTTACATTTTTTTGCCTTAAAATACATATCGTATGTCAAAGCTTGCAAAACAGTACTTTATCGTACCCATTTTCTAGCGGCTCTTCCGCAGCAAGAAGGTAGAATCATATTACAATCTAATAAATACTAAAAACTAGCTTGCTAACAATCTGAAATCCGCTTCAATTTAATGAAAGGCAATCTTAGTTTTCTAAAATATGGGTCTGAGGGCTAAGGGGGACGGTATTTACTACAAAAATCAAGAAATTATTTTGTTGTTTACAGGAAGATCAGGAAGACAGTGGCCACGAGTCTGACGGCCGTACGGAGAGTGAGGCCGATACGGAATCTTCCTATGGACGACGAGAGGGGAAGGAAAAGCATCACGGAAAGGTGAGAGAGAGAGAGAGAGAGAGAGAGAGAGAGAGAGAGAGAGAGAAAGAGAGAGAGGGCGATAACCCTTAACTGGCAGCTTTTAATACCTATGTTCCCAGGTCTACAACATGCTCCGATGGGTGGCCACCGTCGGCAAGAAGAAGTCCCCAGCCCCAGAAAAACAATAACCCAATATTCACGTTGTTTTCAACCACGAACCATTTCGTTAAACCCCGCGAATATCTGTACTTCGTATATCTTCGTATATCTGTACCCAGAAACCGGTTGCCCCCACGCGATGAGTTGTGATGAAGAAATCTCCCACCGTTTGAAAAACAGCTAAAACCCAAAAAAATGCTGTGTCGGATTTTGTGCATTTTGTGGGTCCCATGGACCCGGCGATGTATTTTCTTTGGCGATATTCCTGTATACATAGTCGGGAGCAAACACAACGAGACTGTATTTGTATTTTGTCGTTTGATAAATATTTTTCCTAATAAATTCAGGATAAAAATGCCGCAATGAAGCTGGCCCAACCTTCGAATTTGGAAGTTTGGAGGGCAGGAATTTAGAGAATAACATGGCAAACGGACAGGAAATGCTACGAATTAAAAGAATGTGACAGTTACAGCGACACGATTTTTCGTAAGTAATCTTTAGGAGAAGCTAAGAAATCTTGCCGGAAGCTAAGATCATTAAAAGTTGGCGGCCAAGAATAACATATTTTTGTAATTAAGGTTATTAGATTACTGTTACGGTGACCATAAAGCACATAATTCGAACGGAGCCCGTTTTTGAAATGGCCGAGCTCGAGTTCGACTCCCTCGGGTTGTCGGTTTTTGCTGGAGTTGCCCCGGACCTCGAATTTTTCGTTTCTTAAATGTCTAGGCAAGGCACCTAGATAGGTTGTTTCAAAGGTTCTGTCACCATCACAATATCCACTTGAGGTCCTTTTTTTCGCGTTATGCGCTACGCCATTTAAGAGTTTTGGTGCGGCGTGCACGTTGGTGTTGCGGCGGTAGCTACAGTGGCGGACAAAAGTTTCCAACATTTAGTTGTTTGGCTTTATTTTGCCGATTTAGTGTGGAAATGTTCCCTAGATCACATTGATAGCAGAATTCGGCGTGCTTTTTTACCTGCAACACGCAAAAGACCACAAATCCGCAAAATAAAAAAGTTTGATAAAATTCTCAAAAATGTCGATGACAAAAGTTTCCAACATTTTTCTTTAAAAGCTCCGGGGAAATGAATGGCGTCCTCTAGAGTGGTAATATTAATGCCAAATCGTTTAACATAATTGTTTTCAAGCATTCATGGTTGCAGATTAACTCCTACAGCTCTCGGGAATTTTTTCAGAAACATCGAGTTTAATATGGGAATTCGGCATTTTCGCTTCTAACTTTCGAAATATTAGTTCTTGTCTGGATATCGATATAAGGCCCGATAGAGCATGAAAAGACAAACATTTTTTTATTACATGGGCTTCATGAATGCACTTATCCAAACGGATACGGACGGTCGACGCGCCTCATAAGTGGCGCGCATAGTAAATGGGAGGCCGTCTCTAACAAATAGAAGCAGTTGCACCGCGCGCCAAATTGATCCATGTGTGGCTTCTTCCTCAGCCCAGAAGCACGAAGCTATTTTATATCAAAATGTGTGTCTTTTGGCGCTCTATCGGACCGTATATCGATATTCAGACAGAAATTAGAATTTGGAGAGCTAGAAGCCAAAATGTGGAATCCCCATATTAAAACCGATGTTTCTGAAAAATTCCCGAGAGCTGTAGGAGTTAATCTGCAACCATGAATGCTTGAAAACAATTATGTTAAACGATTTGGCATTAATATTACCACTCTAGAGGACGCCATTCATTTCCCCGGAGCTTTTAAAGAAAAATGTTGGAAACTTTTGTCATCGACATTTTTGAGAATTTTATCAAACTTTTTTATTTTGCGGATTTGTGGTCTTTTGCGTGTTGCAGGTAAAAAAGCACGCCGAATTCTGCTATCAATGCGATCTAGGGAACATTTCAACACTAAATCGGCAAAATAGAGCCAAACAACTAAATGTTGGAAACTTTTTGTCCGCCACTGTACGTCTATCGGAATTTATAGGCAAAATCCATCCCCTTGCCTTACGATATTTCTGATTCTGGTTTTGGACCTTCTGGGCTCTTAACGGGCTCCGGAAGTTCGGATCTATTCAACAGGTTAAAGGCTGGGTTTTGGTCTTTTGTCGCTGGCTGATTTTCCTACCTCTAAAACCACGTAAAATTTATGCAAGGCTTTGAAAAGCACTTGGTATATCGCAGCACTAACCCAAAGCCTAGTCAGACAGGAAGTCAGTAAGTTTCCCGCCGGCGTTCTTGCTAAATCCGGCAGAAACTACCCGGGTGGGTGAAGGGCCCTGTTTGATAAATGGTCGTTCAGAGGATAGACCGGGAGTGTGGCCCTCTTTGGGCCCTGGGAAAAACTCGCCCCGAGGCGCCACTATCACTCTTTGCTGTCTGTTGTTTCGGCTGTAATCTGCCCGCAGAGGGCCCAACCTTGCTGGCGGATACAAACCAGGAGCAAAAAAGGTGGAGAGACCGTGATACCGACAAAAAATTTACCTTAGCGTTTGGGACTGGGGGTGGTGGTCCGATGTCCCTTCGATCAGGGTTACAAGTGGCTGCTGGCTTGCGGAGACATGGATTTGCTTTAGATTCTCTTTCGTGGTAGTGCAACTTCTATTAAGGTTCAAAGTTTGTAGTCTAGTCAGCAGGAACTATTTTAAAGGTATTTTTTGAGGGATTAACCTAGGATGCTTTGGAAGCTGAATGTATCCGAAAAATCCGTAATTCAAGTATGCTGGAACTCTTCACTTTCTATTTTTTAATTCTCAACCGTGTCGAGAACATCGGCGCCTACTAATGCACAAATTTGGGTCCCGAAGAGCTTTGCAATAAATTGTCTATGTACAATTCTATGTCCAAATTTTCTAAAGAATTATTCCCGGCCGTTTTAATAGTTTTTGTAAAGTTTTGATTTGATCTTTACTATAACACATTTTCAACGTACGGCTCCTTTTTTCACGCTACAATACGCGGTGCGACGCGCTTAGTCTACACGCTATACTACGTCACGCTACTCTACACTGCGTTAAATTAAACGGCGCTACGCAACGATACGTTATGTGTGCCATAGCTTGCGCTGTAGTACCCGCTGCGTTTATCGAAGGTATGGCAAAGTACACCACATTAAGTTACGCTACGTTAAGCCATGAAACGTTACTCTACCTTACGCTATGTTACGCGGATTTTCTACGCTACGCAACTTTACGCTAACAAACGCTACGCTTGACGCTAGGCATTGCCGGATGAATCGGGGTTAGCGGGCGTAGTATATTATACGTTGCATTATTCCCTTCCGCTACACTGCGCTACGTTATTCCGTTTTGCGCTAAGGTACGAAATACAGCATAAGCGCATAGTCTAGTCTCCGCCAGCTCAAATTCGTAATAATTGAGGCTGGTGTTGCGATGTCCCTTCTCCCCACCAGAGACTGCCCAAATTATATTTGAAGAAGGGCAGTACATTATCTTATCTAGCGGCCAATAGGTGGAAGCAGTCCTTTCCCGCAACACAGCCTCTCTTCTTTCTTCCTAGGGAAGCCTAATATCGGCAAACACTACACAGCCAGCCAGCCAGACTTGCCCCAACCTACCGTATCCTCCCAACCACTTGGCCTCGGGGGCTGAATTCCTGGCTATGCCCTGATAAGCCCATTTCCCCCGGGCGGGCAGGGCAGGCTGTACGAATTCGGCGCGATTTACCGCATTTTGCCTGGGCTGAAGCTTGGATCTCGGATCGCCATTTTATGCTGGGATTCGGCTTTCAAAACTGAAGCGCCTGAGCTTGAGCCTGAATTTAAACCTAACTCTTACCCAAACCTAAGCATAAATCCAGGCTTAAGCACCAGCTCATAGTCTAGTCAATCCTTAACTTATGTCTAACTGTAAAGTGTTTTTACTCAGGCTGGCTTTTTGGGATGGGACCAAGACTAACTTGTGCAGAATTTTGCGCTGATTCCGAATCTGATTTCCAAATCTGCTGCCGACTTTGATTTAAAAAGTTATTTGACATTTATACCATAAAAAGTGCCAAAATCCGGATCTTTTTTTGCGTTATTCTTAAGTTGTCTTCATCTTCAACGTTAAAACTGGGTCGGTAACAGTTTTAGAGATCAAGTCACGATTTTATGCAAAAAATTATCTGTTTTTGTGCAAAAAGCAAAAGAAATTGTGCAGGGCGGGGTTCGGACCACGGCCCTGTGCTTGGCAAGCGACCACCTTGCCAATGCACCATGGTGTCAAATGGGCAGGGGGCTTCGGAAGGGTAGATAAGGGGCATAGCACAACCTGGGGTCAGCACAACCTGAACAAGCTAGTCTTGGTCCCATTCCAAAACGCGAGCCTGAGTAAAAACACTTTACAGTAAGCCTAAGCCTAAGTAAGCCCACGACCAGGCCCGGTCCTAAGTCCGACCTATGCCCAAGCCTAAGCCTAGACCCAAGCCTAGCCCAAAACAAAGCCTAACCAAGCCTAAGCCCACACCCAAACCCAAGATCAAGCTTAAGTCCAAGCCTAAGCCTCAACCTAAACCGAATCCTGAGCTGAGGTCCAAGCCGAGACCCAACAACGTAAGCCTAAACCAAAACTCAAGCATGATATACCCAATTTTTCCGGTCCTGGTGTTTTTTCTTCTATCTTCCCTCTGTCCAGCAACCCTTGCATCGATTTTCTCGATCTGCACATTACTGACGTTTCTGATCTCCCCCAGTTTCACCGATTAGTTTCAGTCTACGAAAAATGGGCCTTAATTGATAGCTGCAAACCGGTAGTTTCGCGTTTACCTGCATCTTTTGAAATTTTCAGACACCTCAAATTGTTTGCTGGTAGTCTGCGCGCCAACATCAATCTCACCGCACCTATTTATAGCCTAATTTGCATCACCTCTGCAGCCCCGTAAGCCCGTATTCTTGCGGAATCTGCCGCCCGCTCCAGAATCATTTCCCGTCCAGCCGCCGTCGCTTCGGGAGGATGGGGTGTGGGAGAAGATTCGCTATATCCGGGATTGTCGCCCCGGACCCCCCTCTAGCCCCACCCCGAAAATAGCAACTAATTTTGGAAATTAGTGACACCG